CTGGGTGTAGAGCTTACGTTAAAAAAAAAAAAAAAAAGGACAGACACATAGAATGTTAGAACACCTAAGATAAAGAGAACCTCTTTAAAAACTGCCCCCCCACCAAAAGAAAAAAAAATGAGGTCACATACACAGGGTGTCAGAATGGAATGGTACTTCTAAAAAGCAAGACCAAAAAGTAGGATTCAATGTAATAATGCTTTAAAACACTGAAATTTCTAATCTAGAGTTCTCTGCCTTGCAAAATATCAATCCAACCTTTGGATATAGTAAAGGCATTTTCAGTCATGCAAGGTCACAAAACCATTACTTCCCATGCAACATTTCTCAGGACTTACTGAGGATGTGTACACCAAAAGAAAGGGATTAGCCACACAAAGGAACGCTTGAGATTTCTAAGACAGGGGTCAGATAAAGGAGGTAAGCAAAAGGAATACTCAGGCAGTGAAGAGAAGCACCAGACTGACAGCTGTGTCAGATCTGGGCAGCATAAATAAGGAGGATGAGGGTTCAAAAAAAAATGTCTCCAAGGAAAAAACTAAATGAATGGAACACCTAATGTGTCTAGCATATGACAAGTTTTAAAGTAATACCAGACTATTTCAAGCTGAATTAATGATGGGAATATAAAAAATATACATAAGCAAACGAAAAAGTGAAGCAATGGTTAACTTCAGGAAAAACATAAATGAAAAGAAAATGTAGTCAGAATATACTACTTGGCTCACCTGTAAATACCATTTTACAGAGTCACAATAATTCAAACACAGAAACAAAATAGTGCTTAAACAAAATAGTCATATAGTTAATATTGTGGGACAAATAGGTGCTTCTGTATATGTTGGGGAGTGGGGCTGGCAGAGCTAAGATCTTAAGCTAAATCATCTCCCATGATGGGAAGTCAATATATAACATTTAAAATAAAAAAGCCAACACATAAGTCTAGATGAGAAGAGGGTGGCCAAAGCTGAAAAGAGTTGGAAGGTGCACCCTAGAGAGCAAGAGGTATGGGAAATAGGTCAGAATTATTTTTTTTTCATTTTAAGTATATTTTTAAAAATTATGCATATGTATAACTTTGCTAAAAAATAAAATTTAATTTAAAAAGAAATGTGACTATGAAAAAAGCAATTAGAGACAGTCCAGACCACTCTTCAAGGCATGCTTCAGTCCACAGTAAACACTCCCACTGCCACCCCATCACACACAAAGAACGTCCTGACAGCTTTCTAGGACCCATCTCTTAAATAAGAACGAGAACCCAAGGATCATTAGACACTTGAGAAAACTAACATGAAATTCAGATCTATAAACAAAAAGAACCAAAAATGGGGAGACAGTGGGGAACCAGAGACTATGCTATAGAAATACAAGGAGAAGAAAACAAAAAACTTCTAGTAATATCCTCAGCAAGATAATAGAAGATACTGTATGCATGAATCAAGAACAGAATACTATTTTTAAAAAAGGAATAAAAAAGAGGAAGGGAGGGGGAGAGGAGAGGGAAAGAGAGGGGAAGAAGGCAAGTCCAGAAAACAAAATTGAATTTAAAAATAAATAGGGGGCGCCTGGGTGGCTCAGTTGGTTAAGCAACTGCCTTTGGCTCAGGTCATGATCCCGGAGTCCCGGGATGGAGTCCCACATCAGGCTCCCTGCTCAGCAAAGGAGCCTGCTTCTCCCTCTGACCCTCCCCCCTCTCATGTATTCTCCCTCTCTCAAATAAATAAATAAATCTTTAAAATAAATAAATAAATAAATAAATAGGATCCCACCAGTTAAAAAAAAAATGTAATAGAAGAGGGGCACCTGGGTGGCTCAGTCATTAAGCATCTGCCTTCCGCTCGGGTCATGATCCCAGGGTCCTGGGATCGAGCCCCACATCGCGCTCTCTGCTCCGCGGGAGGCCTGCTTCTCCCTCTCCCACCTGCCCTGCTTGTGTTCCCTCTCTCACTGCGTCTCTATCAAATAAATAAATAAATAAAAATCTTTAAAAAAAATGTAATAGAAGAGTTGGGAGATACAGTTGAGAATATCACCCAGAAAAACAGAAGAAAAAGACAGATGAAAATAGGGGGTGGGGTGTATATTAGAGAATGAGGGGATAAATTCATGAAGTCTAACATCCATCTAAGGAGTTTAGAAAGAAAGGAACAGGAACAGAAATAGAAATGAAAAAACAACTCAAGAAAACTTACCAAAATTACAAAGCAGGAGTTTCATTGTAAGGACTCACCAAACACACTGAAGGAAAACAGAATTAGACCAAGGAAAAATTTCAGAAAACAAAGGACAAAGAGAAGACCCTAAAAGCTTCCTGAGGGTGGGGACATGTTATCAAGATTCAGGAAGACATGGGACTGCAACAGCAATACCACAAGTTACAACACAACAGAGCACTGTCTCCAGATTTTTTAGAGACAATACTCCCAACCTAGAATTCCATGCTCAGCCACGCACTCACCAAATCATGAGGGCAGAATAAAGCTATCTTTTGATATGCAAGGTCTTAGGAAATTAATCTCTCACATACCCTTTCTCAGGAAGCTACTAGAAGACAAGCTCCAACAGGAGGGGTAAACCAAGAAGGAAAACGATGTGAGGGCCACACAAGGGCTCCTGCCCAAGAGAGAAGCCAAGGAGTCCGTGGGGTGGTGGCCAAGGGCCCGCCCAACATGGAACCAGGCAGGCAGCAGGCACCAAGAGCAGCAACCAGGCCAGATGGAAGTAGGTCAGAGGCCCTGGGAGGGATGTCTTAAGATGTCGACAGTGATAATGAACCTGATGTATTGGTTGTATTGTGAGAGAAAAAGGAGTCATGGCAAACAATACAGGACAGCTTTGAGCAACATTTTCCAGGCACCACATTGTAGATGCTAATTGTAATCTAACCAACTCCGTGCTGACTATATTGTGGAAGGTATGGGGAGGCGCCGTGTGTCTGGGTTAGGAGAGGGGTAAAAAGAATTAAAGCCAGACAGATAATGCTAAAAACTGGGGGAGAAAATTAAGAAGTGTCAATACTATGAATTACAAATAGTAATTGTTTTATTGTTATTTACAAGTAACAATCTCCATGTTACTTGGAGAAACAGAAATCAGCACCAAAGGAAAAACCAGAGGAGCTGGAAGTGGACCCCTAAGGAACAGGCAGTTGGTCTGTGTGTGGCGGGGGAGCTGCTGTATCTTTGTAATAAGCCACACAGAACTACATGATTCCATGTGTACATATGGCTTCAGTAAAAACAAGAACCAAATGTTTATGTTTTACAGAAATTCAGGAGTGCTCATCATTCTAGTATATAAAACCATCCACTGAAAAACAAGGATTTTGTAATTGGGAGTCCCGGACTCGGCAAACATCCTTCCTTCTGCCTGGTGCCTAAACCAGAAATATTAGCAGAGAAGAAAGAAATAACTGATCTTAGCCACTGGTAGGATTCAGTGTCTCTAAGGAAACCAAAATAATCACGAAATCAGGTAAACACAGGCACCATCCATACTACAATTCTATCTAAAAACCACATTTCTATACCCACAGAAATAATTGACACCTCTTTCACAAACAATGAAAGGGAAGGGCCGCAGGGAGAAAAGCACATTCAGTCTGATAAAGTACATCTCACAACTTAGCTGGTAGCTCAGTGCCCCAGGACTAAACCAGAAGGCATGTTTCCCTACCCCCGCCACCTTCTGTTACTCAAATTTCTACCAGTGATCACTGCAGCTAGGACTCCAGCTTGTAGATATTCAGCAATCTCTGGGAATTGACAAGGAACATGAGGATGGAGAGGCAGCTCTGCACTGAGATGTTGCACTGAGAATAACTGACGATGACAGAACAAGAACTAAGTCTCCTGGCTCTTCCACTCAAAGATTACATCTCCCAGCCTCTTGCAGAGAGGCGAGGGCGACGAATTGCAAGGAGTTGATTAATTACCACTTACGATGCCATAAACAAAAATAAAGTCACTGATCATTTATCCCGAGTTCCCATTTCTTCATCTATAAGATTGAGACAAAAATTATGCTCCTACCACTTAGAATTATTTTGAACGTTAAACGAGAAAATATATTCTAAGATCAGTGACTGGAGGCATAATAAGCTCTCAATACATTTCGGTTATCCTAATCGCCAGAGCCTCTTTAAAATTGAGTGACCCGTGGTGGAGAGTGAGAGGTGTCTGGCCACCGTTAGAAAGTAGAAGGAAGGAACCGCTCGTTACTCCAGGCTGTATCCTGCCTGAGGCATTTAATTCGGCCCTGAGCACCAGCGACCATCCCCCGGACCTCTGATGCTGAGACCCCAACTCTGCAACCGTCTGGCCAGGAGACAAGGTGTAGGGCCGCGGCGAAAACAAGGCACGCGCCGCGCGTGAGCCATTTTCCAGCGGCTGCTCCGGCCCTGCAACTCGGCAGCCTTTTGATGAGATGCGCGCTTTGGCTGAGCGGAGGGGCAAGAAGCCAGAGGACCTAGCACTTACATCCCACTAACCAGGAGTTACGCAACAGCCTGCGTAAACAAATTCAAAATATTCTTTAGACACAATGCAGCGAGGTCAGGGAGTTAACACACAAAACAGCGGCCCCGTTCATAAGACTGAAAGCTTGGCTCCGTGATTCTTAACCTCTCGGGGTAGGTCCTCTTTGAGAATCCGATGAAAGCTGGGCTCCTCTACGGAAAAAAAAAAAAATGGGCGCTTAGATATAAATAGATGGGATTGTGGAGCTCACTCCGGCAACCAAGGCCCCCGGGTGAAGAGACGGAGTTCAGCGGCACTTCAACTCTATTCACAACCAGAGCCACCCTATTACGGAAATAAAGGGTGGGAGGGCAAAGGCGGGGCTGACACCACTCTTACTTTGTCAAGGGAGGTGGATTCTTCATCTACCAGGGGGAAAAAAGAAAAAGGGAAGGGCTTGCCCTGAGCGCAGCGAGACCCTGAGCTGGGCAGCTCGGCCGCCAGGAGCAGGCCCCTCGCAGCCCCCTCCCGGCCCGGTACCTGGCAGAGCCGCAGCGGCCGCCTCCTCCACGCTCTCCGCGTCCCGGGCCTCCTCGGCCTCCGCCGCCTCGGCGCCCCGCTCCTCCGCCGGCCCGCGCGCCCGCCGTTCCGGCCCCTCCGGCGCCGCGGGCTCCGCGGGCGGCGAGGCGGGGGCGCACTGGGGCGCGGGGCCCCCGGCGCCGGACGACGCCGACGACGCCGAGTCGTCCGAGGCTCCGGCCGGGCCCCAGTCGTCCCAGAGCCAGGGCGCGTGCGCCTGCTCCAGCAGCCGGCGGCCCAGGCGGTAGTGCAGCAGCTCGCGGTAGCACGGCCCGTACTCGTCCCAGCGCGGCTCCCGGTAGCGCTTCATGTACTCGCTCTTCACCCCGCTCCCCGGGGACATGGTGCCTCCCGCCGGCCTGAGTGCGCGCCGCTCTGCCGCCGCCTACGGACCGGGGGACACGACACAGAGGCCCGCCCCGCCCCTCCCGCCGGCCCGGCCCGCCGCGACGTTTAAACCCGGAGCCCCGCCCGCACGGGGCGGGGCGCGGGCGGGGGCGGCGGTGAGGGGGCGGAGGGAGCCGGCGGCCGGCCCCCGGGAAGGGGCGGGTCCCGGGAGGACCCGCCAGGTAGCGTCGCGTCCGGTGACCCTGTCCTGAGAGCCCGGGCAGGGTACGGGGCGGGAGGTTCCCGGAGGCGGGCGGAGGGGCCAGCACCGCGGGGGACGGGCGCCCCCTCGGGGGACGGCTCGGGAGGTGGGACGCCAGAGGCTGCGGGCTAGGGTGACAGGGCCGCGGGAGGCCGGGGACAGGCGGGCGCCGGAGCGAGGCAAAGCAGGAGCGGGGCTAGGGGTCCTCGGGGCCCCCTCCAAGCTTACCTCCTGGGTGCCGCCCCGCGCTGGCCCTGCGTCTCTCGCCCCGCGGCGCCCGGCCGGTCCTCCGCGCGCTGGGCCCTGCAGCTCGGAGCGGCCCGCCCTCCCCCGCGCTTTCCTCCCGAGCAAGATGTCGCCGACGGCGCGGCGGCCCGCGTCCCTGCGGCAGCGGGCAGGCGATGGCGCCGCCTCAGTCCCCGGGAGCAGACACCTCCCCCGCGCGCTCCCGGTCCCGGCCCCCGCCCCGCCGCGTGGGGGCGGCTGCTTCAGTGCTGAGCGCCGGCCGCGGAGATGCGGCGCCTCCGCCAGCCCCAGGCTCCGAGGCCCACGGCCCCGGCCCACCCGTCCGAGGCGCCCGCCCGCCCAAGTCCCCAGTAGGCGCCGTCCCAGGCGCCCTCCACCGCAGGAGGCCTCGGTTAGGGTCTGGTGTTGGTAACGGGTCCGGGGACCGGTGCGCTCCGCGCCCCCCCATCCTGCCCCGGCCGGCGACCCGCGACGCTCCCCTCCTGACTCACCTGCCCTGCTCGCGTTTCCCAGAGACGAGTGCACGCGTTGGCTCTTGGCTTCCCTCCTGTGTTCACAGCACCTGTTACTCTGGTTTTAACCTCTTCAACTTCTTTTTACGCTTTAGTACAATTCCTTTCTGGTCGATACCCCAAACATTTTTTTAAACTTAATTAAAACCGCCAACCCACCCTCTCAAGAGACCTTTGTACAAAAAACCTTGATAGATTCAGTTGTGTTGTGCGAAAGTATACAACGTTGCTCTAGTCGCTACAGTTAGTTTCCAGAGTGGCCCCAGCCAGATTCTTAACCTCTATTGAAAGGAGCCTTGATACATTCTTTACAAAAAGATCTGAAAGAAGCTTTGGAAAATCAAAAATAATTAGCAGTTGAAAAGTAGGCCTAGGCCCGGAGTGAGTTACCCGGTTCTGGCTTCCATACTGGGATTCCCATCCCCCACCCCCACCCCTTCACCTACCGTGTTTTTCTCACCTACTATTTTGCTTCTCCCTTTGTGGGGCAGAACCCCAGCCCCTCGTAGCTGAATGATCCAGAGGTAGATACTGCTCAAGTGGGACAGGTCAGACTATCCTGAGAACTTGAAGTTAGCAGTCCAGGAGTCATTACCCCTGGGCTGTTAATGGCACTTTTCTGGACGGATTCTCCATGACCCCCACTGTTGACGTCCCCACAGTGGCCCTGAGTTTTCCCCTCCCCAACTTTACCTTTTATTCCTTGAAACTTCCTAATGCATTTCACTTTTGTTTAAGCTGTCCAGGGTTGGTTTCAGATGGTTGCAACCTGGGGGGGGAATGACCACATGCAGTTATATGAAACATGCAGAATACAATCTGTTTCAGTTGGCCTTGGCTGCACAATTAACCACCCCAAAAATTAGTGGTTTAAAACAATTAAGATTTATTATTTCTCATAACTCTGTGGGGTCACCAGGCAGTTCCTCTGCTGGTTTCACGTGGCTGGGTTAGACTCACTTATACAGTTGCATTCAGCTGGAGGGAGAGCTATCCTGGAAGGCCCCAGAGGGCCTGGTCAGGGACCTGGCTGTGCACTGGCCCTAGTTTGGTCTCCTCACTGTGGCCTCATCCTCCAGGAGCCTAGACTGGCTTTTTCACCTGGTCCTCTCTTCTGAGAGGCTAATGACAGAAGCTGGAGGGCCTGGGAAGTTCATAAGCATCTCTTCGGCTGCATACTAAGATTCAAACCACAAGGCCAGCCCAGATTCAGAGAGAGAGAGAAATAAACTCCACCCCCGCACGAGAAAAGCAGCAGCAAACTTACCTGGCAAAGGGGCATGAGTTCTGCACGGAGAAATGTGTGATCATGCCTTACAATCACACCTCTACACACAAAGTATATAAGGTAAGATAACATTTTTTGTATAACAAAAAACAGAATTAAGAACAACTTGTTTTACTTTCACCTGTTCTGCACAATTAAGGGTATTACTTTCTAATTTTTTTAAGTTATTATTCATCAGGGCTCATCCGCTTAGAAGTGACAAAAACCAATTCAACCAGCTTAAACAGAAAGGATATTTAGGGGTGCCTGGGTGGCTCAGTCTGCCTTCAGCTCGGGTCATGATCCTGGGGTCCTGGGATCAAGAGCCTTGCATCGCAGGGCTCCCTCGGGGAGCCTGCTTTTCCCTCTGCCTCTGCCACTCCCCCTGCTTGTGCTCCCTCCCCCCCCATCAAATAAATAAATAAATCTTTAGGAAGAAAGGAAGGGAGGGAGGGAGGGAGGAAGGAAGGATATTTAGTGACTCTAGCAAAGCTAAACCCAGGGACCTGGTCAGTGTCATTGGGATTCTGTTTCTTTCTGTCTTTGAGCTCTGCTTTCCTCCTGGGGCTGGCTTCTTTGTCTCCCACTGTAAATGGACTTCCTCCACATAGCTGAGGAAATACCCTTGTAGCCCCAAGCTTGTGATGTCTTAGCAGAGGACCACCAGCAAGAGAGAACTTCTTGGTATTCCAGTTATAGAGAAAGATTCTTTAGTCACATGCTTAGCTGTTGCTGGGTGTGGGAAGGGATATGACTGTCCAAGCCTGGGTTACCATGCCCATCACTATGGAAGGCGATAGGGTGTCAGGTTGAGAGTGACAGCCCCAGGAAAAGCACATGGAATAAGGAGGGAGCGGCTCCTCAGAAGGAGAAGTAGTAGGCAGACAAAACTGTGTGTGCCCATGTGTATGTTTGTCTTTGTGTCTAAGAACAGGAGAAGAGCGTTCTCATTTCACAGCACTTGTTGGGGGCGGGGGAAATGGGAGGTAGATGATCACAAGTAAGCTACAGCTGTTACGAAATTGAATACAGGGCGGCTGGGTGGCTCAGTCGGTTGAGCGGCTGCTTTCAGCTCAGGTCATGATCCCAGGGTCCTGGGATGGAGCCCCACATCGGGCTCCCTGCTTGGCAGGGAGCCTGCTTCTCCCTCTCC